GGACAAAGGCTGCGAGCCGCGGGCCCGGGGCTGCGGAAGAGCTGAGCTCAGCGGTTCCTCGGCTCTTTGAGGAGCCTGGAGGACAGGACAGAGGAGACAGGGAGGAGGCAGGCCGGGGCGGGTGGCTGCTGAGAGGCTGCCAAGGATGGAAAACTTCCTCTGCAGAGGTAACAACTGGGCACATCCGGGCACGTGCCTGGAGCCCCACACCCAGCCCCGCCGAGTGGGAGGGGGAGGATGGGGACTGCCAGCCTCACCTCCAACCCTCTCTAGTGACATCACGCGAAGCCGGCCAATCACCCCTCCCAGGAACTCCTCCCAGTGACCTTGGGCTCCCAGGAGTGAGTTTAGCTTCTTAGATGAAATCAGTCCCACCCATCAGTAGGGCTGCTCCCACTTCCAACTGACCTGCCAACCAAATCTTATCCTGAGGCCCCCAAGGGCCCCTGGCTCTTTGCATTTGGTCTTATTTCTCATTGAGGAGAAGTAACAAGCTGTGACCTTAAGATATCTATGAACTGTTCCGGAATTCTACAAGATTCTTACAAAGATGGTGCATGGTCTGTGATTCCTGATGCATCTTCTCTGTACTGTACCCACCATGGTCCTCAGGGAACAGGCCCCCTCTTGCTAGGTGCTATTTAGGATGCTGTTCGAAGTTAGGCTATCACATACCATTGAGTTCTAAAGTTGGAATTTTTTTGCCTCTGATTCACAAATGAGGCAAAAACTTGGCTCAAGGTCACGGAGCTAATAAGAAACAAGATCTTCTATGAAGATTACCTTCATTAGCCCTCAGTCCTGAAGATTCCATCCAGAGGAGTACCTGAAACACCTAGCATGCATGCAGCTGCCCACCTGTGTGTAATTTGGACTTGAGGACTTCCAGGCAGAGGGACACCCTCTCCTCCCTAGGCCCTACCTCACAGACTTTCAGAAGAAGAGAAACCTGGACTAGACTCATCTCTTAAATGACCAAAATAACCAACATGACTAGATCCTTCAAAAAAAGCTTCAGGGGGCTAAGAGCATACCTGCTCTTTGCTCCAACAGAATCCCTAATGCCTTCCTGGAATCCTGAAATGCAGCCCCAGAGGCTAGTCAGTTTCTGGGCATGCAGCACCAAAGCCTGAGGGGAAAAGTAAAGTTGGCCCAGATTCTACTGCTTCCCTCCTCATGTCCAGGCCCAAATCAGCACACCTGGCTTCAACCAGGATGGCAGGGGCAGAGGGACAGTCAAGTGTTGCATCCTCCATGGTGGAAATGTATGTGTGTTTGGGGGCAGAGGTAGGGGAGGGACACAGAGAGGAACCCCATGATCTTTCTTTTTTTTTTTTCCCCCATGATCTTTCATTTGCTGGCACACCGGGTCACTTTGCCATGTTGTAACCTGCCAGGGGCCAGCTCTTCCTCATCAGTGACAGGGCAAGATCAAAGGGGAACTTAGCTACAGCAGGGGGGATTTAGATAAGCTAGCAAAAAGAACTTCCTGCCTGCAATGATTGTTAAACTGAACAGGGAAGCTTGGAGGAGTCTGGAGTCTTCTTCCTCCAGCATCCTCTGCCTCCCAGGCCTCATCCCATAAGGACAATATCTACTATTTGTTGAAAACCTGGGTTCCCAGCTCATTGATGCACATGAGAGGAGGTACTGTGTCGTGACAACCCTAGGAAGCAAGGGATATGTTTAGGGAGGCGCGGAAGGTGAGATTTAACAACCAAGAGTCACACAATTTGTAATGGTGGAGATGAAATTCCAACGAATCCTACCCTTGCCCAGTCTGGCTGCATCCCCCAAGCAACTCTGCACCAGGGCAGGAGAGAGGTTGGACTGAAGAAAACCGATCCCCTCAGAGAATCTCCCTGGCTGATGTCACCAACAGCTGCCAGCAGTGCCATGAGGGGCCTGTTGGGAAAGTATTTCCCCATTTTGTCATTAAGGAAGCTGCGGCCCGGGGCCTGGGAAGCATGGAGCTTGCTTCCCTGCCAAAACAAGGCAGCAGCGCTCCTCGGCAGCAGAAAGAAGACGTCCGCACCCCCCTTTACTGAGCACCCTCTCCTCCTCCTCCTCCTCCTCCTCCTCCTCTCCCTGGCAGCCTGCCAGTTCTGGGGAAGGCGGCTAGAAGCAAAATCCCTGCTCTCTCTGGGGAGTCTGGCTCCGAGACACCAGGGGGGATTTAACTGACTGAGCCCAGACAAGGCACCTCCCCACAGAGGCCAGGCTTCTGTCAGTCAGGGCGGCAAGATCCACTTTGGGGTGCTGACCCTTTTAGCTGAACTGGGAAAGTGGGAGCAGAGCCACCAGAGAGCCCTGTAACAGCCTGAGGGTCTTGTTGCCTTCCCCAGAGAGCTTCCCTGGCCTCTCAGACTTGTCCCCAGCCCAGCCCTCCTGCAGCTGGCCTCAGGGAAAAGACTGGGGCTCGCTCTGAACCCTCACAAGAAGGTTTTGTATAGTGGAGCCAAAGGGCATGGGTTTATGAGGCCCTGGCGGGCCCAGTGAAAGGGGTCTGTCAATCCTTTCTGCCTGACTTTTGCCCCTGAACAGGGTCTTGAGAGCATGGAGAGGTAGCAATACTCAAAGAAAACCTACAGGAAGTGTTGGGGTGTCAACCCCACAAACAGGGTTCAGAACTCTCACCGCCCCACCCCACCCCCGCCCCAGGGATGTGCTTGACCATCCTTTCAGTTCATCCCAGAGTCCTGGCCACAGTCTCCTGAATCATGCTGGGGAAAGGCTGGCAAACGGGAGGGGTGTATGGTATGAGGCATCTGGGGAGGGTCTCCCTGCCCTTCACCCTCTAGGCCATCAGGAGTACTCCCCAGAGAGGCTGAAACCAGGCACTGGGGAGGACAGAGGAGAAGACAGGATGTGGTGTCAGCAGCAGGGAGTGGGATGCAGAGGCTGAGAGAAAGGGCCAGTCCCTGTCCTGAGCTGCATGTACCCCCAGCCCGCCCTGTGCTGGCAGGCTGGCTGCACAGACCCGGCTGTGAGCAGCACCAGGAGCTTCCTGAGCCATGGACTGACTCCTCTGGCTCTGGGGCCTGGGAAGGGCAAGCCCAGCTCAGGGAAGTGCCACTCAGCTGTGCTCTTGCAGACCCACCCCCACCATGGGGCATCTGGCAGAGGTTTCCCATGACCTCCTGGGAGACAGGAGATGCTGCAGTTTGGCTTAGCCCAGAGCCCAGAGCTGTGATGACATCTGCATCTGGTGGGGGACAGCTCAGTGGGGACTGGACCCTGGGGACGCTCCCCTGCTGAGGAATGCAGAGCAACAGGCGGCTGGCTGGCTGGCTGGCTGGCTGGCTGTGGAGGGCTGGCTGTGGAGGGCAGGAGCCAAGCTGGCCCTGGCCCTGCCCCCACTGCCAGCCTGCGCAGTAGGTTCTCTTGGTGCTCCTTCATTCCACCTAGGTAAGCCCAGCCCAGCCTGTGAAAGGACTGACAGGCAGCTTCCACCACCAGCTATGATAGTGGCCTGCTATCATATAGGTACAGGGACTTAAGCATCTGGGGACAGGAACCATGGCATGCCCACCTTTCCATGCTTCAGAGCAGCTGGAGGTAAAAAGGGGAGTCCTCCAGAGAACACTGCAGTCCACACTGCTGCCAGCCTGGGGCTTCACTGCCCCCGCCCCAGCCTCCCCTCTCCTCCCTCCATAGGATGGGGGGGGGCGTGGATCTGTCTTAGCCCTGCTCCTTCCAGCTGTTCTAAGCGGGGGTAGGAGGACACTGCTTTCCTCCTTAATGTCCTCAATTGCAAGACTGTCCAGAGGGTAAAATGAAAGGCCAAGAGGCCCAGGAAGCCTGGGGTTCTCACCTCTGGCTGAGGGAGGTGGGGTGGCAGCAGGAGAAGACTTGGAAGCCCCAGAACCTCCTCCTCTAGAGAGTGCCAAGAGAATGGGAAGGCAGGAACTCCCCCAAACCAAAAGGAAACCACAAGGATTTAGGAACTAGGGCCACGGTGGGGATGGGCAGCCCTATGCCAAGTAACCCTGTAAGGTAAATCCCTTGCCACACAGCTGCACAGCGCGGCGCACTGCTCCCACATTCTCCTCCAGGGCAACTGTGTACAGAAGTAAAGCATTTGAAGAAACCGAAACAGAGACCAGAACACTTAGCCAATTAGCAGCTGGACTGGAGGTGGCTTAGAGCAGTCTGAGGAGCTACGTGCTTGCAAAGAGGAGTGCTCTGGGTTCAGATCCAGCCTCCTGCATCTGCTGCTGTGTTCACTCGTCTATAAAAGGAGAGTAGCCTCAGTTTCTTGGTGGGTGTAATAGGATAATGCAGGCACAGTGCCTGGCACAAAGTAAGTGTTCAACAAATCATAGTGCTAAGCCACTTCCTAGTTCACTCTCCTTTCTACCACAGCAGGCTTTCTGCTCTGAATAAATAAATAGATGGAGTCACTTTGAATCACTTTACCCAATAATTCACTGTGGCTTAAAATTAGGGAGATACTTCTTAGGTATACTTAAGTTAGGGCTTATTTTTTAAACATTTTATTCATACTTGACTCTGCAGGTATCTGTTCCCTCCAAGAATTAAATGCCTTCTACCTCATTCAAACCTCTGCTCTGCATAAATGAAAAAATCAGAACAAACCAGGTGTCCCCATTCCCCAGTGAGTAAAACTGAGGCCCAGAAGGACAATCAAGAAAGAGGACCCATGACCCATTTAGCAGATGCATTGCATTGGTCCAGCCCTGCCCTTTGCTCCCCGAGCTATAAGAGTAAAGGTGTCAGGCATGTGTCACCTCAGTTACCTTTCAGCCCCAGCCCCACCCTTAGGTTTACAAAAGCTGAGAACCAATCAAGCATGCTGGCTGGGTGGTGGAGGAGGGGAGGTTTCCGGGGCTTGTGGTTACTACACTCCACTTCCTTGTGATGATGTAAGCCCTGTCAATGCAGCAGGAGGCCACCACCAGGACTCTCAGGTCTCCACACAACCCTCAGAGCTCCTGTCCAGGCCTCAGTTTCTGCAAACTGGGAAGCATGAGATGCAGTTGGCATCAGTTGGCTCTGAATGGCTTTGGGACCCTGAAGGCACCCACATGCCCACCCCCATAGTTCAGTCTTCTTCATTCTCCCAATCCCACAGTGCTCTTGATTGAAGATTTAGATAGCTATGGACCAAGATTTCAGACTAGTCTGGAACCAGGGAAATAATTGCAGCTAGAGAAGCCCAATGGGAGAAGACAGGGGTCCACTCTAACACTGTCCCTTGGGTCCCCAGCTGGGGCTCCCCTCAATTCCCTCGCTACCCTGTTCAACCCTGTATTCTCAACGGATGGATGTGGGACTGGCCAAGGCACCTCCCCCTCCCCTGCACACTAAAGGAAGGAAGTTTAGGGAAGCTAGGCAGAGATAAGCGGGAGGGGGTTAGGCAACACTATGGGCTCCCCTCATGGTGGGGGCTCAGAGCTGGGGGCTTGAAAGGGTCTTAAATAAACTCACCATGTGACTTGGCTTCCTTCCCCAATTTCAACTTTGCCAACTTGCATCTCTTAACATTTGTCAGGCCTGTATTTCTGCAGCTGGCGCAGGTTACAGCTCAGCCTCACCTCTCTCTAGCTGTGCTACATGTCCTCCTCCCCCACCCCCAGGTAAAGGCCAGTTCTAGTCCAGCCCAGGAAGCTGAGAGTCCTTACAGTACAAGGGGATTAATGGATAAAGGGATCAAAGGGCAGGCCTGAGGGGACTGTCCTGGGATCTCTTGGTAAAAAAACGGACTAGCCCCCCAGGAGCAGATGGGCCTGACTCCACCTAGCTGGGGAGGCAATGGGGTGGGGCTTTGAGAGCCTACATACACCTGGACATTTCCCCCTAATCCTGAAGCCCCAGGTCCTGCAAATTTCCTCCAGTTTTTCCGGAGCCCAGACCTTCCCAGCAGCACTTTGCAGATGGCCAGCTTTGATCCTCATCCCAGATTAGAGCCCAAGAGCCCAGGGCCTGGAACTTCACCTAGTGGAACAGCCTGGGCCTCTCTTCCCAAGCACACACATCAGCCCAAGTCTGTCTCAATTCTGGCCTCCCTGTCCCAAGAGCTGGACTCCATGGTTCACAAGTTAATCTCATGGGAGTTCAGAAAGGCTTCAGTTAGGGACAAAGGAGTTCCAGGAAGTCAGAAAGATAGCTGAACCTGGCAGGAGGCAGTAAGCCCTGGGGAAGCAGTAGGTATAGGCAATTCCAAATCCTTGACCCTTCTCATAAGTGCAGTACTTGACTGCAGCCCCACACCCAGTCCTTTAGGTGGCATGAGTGGTTTCTGGGGGCAGGAGATAGGACATCCCAAACAAGGAGAACTCCCCCTATGGCTCGTTACTGGCACCATCTGCTCCCCCTCCCAGCCCAGCCTTGGCCCAGTCCTACCCTCAGTTCTCTGATTAGAAACTGGGTTCTGTCCAGGCATTGTCTGCCTTCCACGGCCGGCTGCCCATTGAGGTCTGGCGTGTGCCGGGCTGGGCGCTCAAGCTGAGCTGGAGAGCTAGAGCCCATGGCAGAGAGGAGTGGGCGGGGCCCTTACCTTCCTGCAGCCCCTGAAAGCCCTGGCTCTTTTGATGCAGGATTCCTTACACGTTTCCTTCCAGATCAGCCACTCAAGGCAAGGCATGGGGACTTCACTTAGGCAGTCTGACTGGGAAGATCACCCTAAAGCACTGGCTGCAGAGAGCAGGCACAATCCTTTCTCTGTGGACAGGGCCCCAGGATTATTCTGGTAATGTGAAGGGAGCACTAGCTTCTCACCCTTGACATAATGTGCTGTCCCCTAAGGCTCCCCCCGCTCCCCGGGAAACCCCTCATCTTACCATGTCCCAGCCCAGGCTGGGGACCCTGAACAGATGTGGAGGGCCTTTGTTTGACTCTCTCCTGCAAGATGGAGTCTAAAGGAAAGCCCCCCTGGAAGGGGCACCCCAAGCTCCTTCCTTCCCAGCCCTGGTTCACACTGGTTGGGGGTTGCAGCTTCATTTCCCTTTTATGGCGCTGGACTCTCCCCATCTGCAGCAGATGCCATATTTACATTTCTCACTCCCACTCCTCACCCGTGCACCTCCCTCTCTCGACCTCCAAGGGCTCCTGCTGCAATGTCAGCCCCAGCGACAGCCTGGCCCCGCCCCAGTCAGCCCACCAGGCACCTGCAGGGCTCCTCTTTGTCTCAGGCTGTTCCGAGCCAGGAAGGCTGTACTCAAGTGATGCTTTGAATGCTTCCTGGGGTACAGGGTGCAGGGCCTCAATCTCTCTCCCTCAGCCTCAGATCTGGGATCAGCCTCAATGCCTCCTCTCTAGGATGCAGAGGACTGTCCAGGTGGCTAGGGGCATCTGCCCTGGGACAGGAAGTGGGGCCTTCATCCATTATCATTTCTGGCCCTGTCTAGAAGCAACTTCCCAGGACCCCTGGAATCTGGGTCATCTCTGACCCAGGGGATCTGGAGACCTGTCTCAGGGACCCACCGTAGACCCTCCACTCCCCCTATCATACAAAGCTGGGGCAAAGCCTCTCTACCTCCCTGCCTTGGTGAAGTCCCAGATTGGTACTCTCCTAATACACCCTCTCAAAGAGAAAACCCCCAAATAAAAACAGGGAGAGGCAGTGTGGTGTAAAGCATCTCCACCCAGCACAAAGAACACAGATGGTTCAACTTTGCAGTATTTCCTGTCCCTGTACCTCTGTGTGCCCCTCCCAACAGAACCTACCCAGCCATGTCCTCTCTCAGCCTAATTTCTGTCAGATCACTTCACATCTGAGAGCTGTCAGGAATGGAACCCCCAGAAAAATCTACCCAACCCTTCCCTGTTCAATTTCACCTGAGTGCCAGAGGATGGGCCAGTGTCACACCCTCCTGTCCTCTCAAAGGTAGCCTCTCAAATATACCTAATCCCCCCTCCTCTCACCCCATCTCCTTTGGGGGCAGGCCCTGCAGGATTCTTTCCATTGACTCTCCACGTTAGGCCAAAGCACCATTCCAGCCCTTCCGTGGTCTTAGAACCGATCTCTGCAGAACGAGCTCTGGGAGGGTGTGCTGCCTTGGCTAGCAGGACCGAGCACAGAACTAGCTGACTGGGGTAGATGAGGGCGAAAAAAATTTCCCTTCCAATATCCCGCTATGAGACAGCAGCCTCGTGGGGAGGCGAAGAGGAAACGCACAGACGCCCGGCCTGGGCCAGGGCTGGGTGTGAAATACCGGATTTCCTTGTTTATTCGATATTCTGATCATTAAGGGCTCCCAAGAGGGGCCCGAAATTAACCACCCAAACAAAGCCACCTTCCAGCAGTCCGCCGGGCCGCCGCTCCCCGGCGGCAGCGGGGCCAGCGCGCGGCGCCCTTCAGCCCGGCCCACGCCGGCCCCTCCTCCGGGAGTGCGGGCTCCAGTTCCAGCGATGTCCCCTCATCCCAGATTAGAGCCCAAGAGCCCAGGGCCTGGAACTTCACCTAGTGGAACAGCCTGGGCCTCTCTTCCCAAGCACACACATCAGCCCAAGTCTGTCTCAATC